AGAAATAATGCCGGTACAGACACAGTGCTCTGCCAGGGCTGCAACGTCCCACAGCCCTCCGCTGCCCACCAGCACGAACAACATCAGGGCTACAAAACTACTCACCTCAATTTTCTCAGCAGTTTACTACTGCAATCAAAAGGGTTCACAGAAAGATTTCAGCTGAATATTAATGAACCTATTGTTGCATCTAGTCCTAGCTCATTTTGAAGCATATGAAAGCTTCAAAACCCCTTTCTTGCAGAAAAAAAAAGCCAAAAGGTCAGTCAGACATCAAGGTTATCACAACTTTTGCAGAAACTTTCACATAAGCTTTTCTTTCCAACTACTTTTTATGGTCTTTGGAGTTTCAAGTACTTGCTATCCCTTCAAATTTATTTCATCAATATTTTGCTAATATTCCTGTGATTTACTTAGCTAACAAAGACAACACAGTCAGTGACTTATTAGAAAGCAACCTCTTGAACCAGTGAAAAATGCAGAGAAACTTCTAACTCTCCAGTTTTATATCAGTGCCTGAAAACAGCCCAGCCTACCAGCTCTGCAAGAAAACACACACAGAAGTTCACGGTTTGTCTTCTGGCACTGCAGACATGGGTGTGGATTCTACAGCTAGCAATATCTTGCTATAGACAAAAACACTGAAGTTAGGCAGAAATACTATTTATACTAAAGGTGATAAAATAAATCATGCAAATTTTAACATAATCAAAAGAGCAAAGGTCTCGACACATACCAGAAAATGTTGTCTGGCTTCCGAAAAGACTATTTCCCCCATAATTGTAACAATAAGGCTTGCTTTAGAAGCTACTACTAACCTGAAAAGTGAATTAACAAGTATTTTTCCTACCAAAATGAAATTAAATTACATAAATTAAAATGAGCATAATTAAACTCGTCTGGAACCCTGCTGCCTAAATAAGATTTTCAGATGTTTGCTCAGTGTTTGCTCAGTTTACAGGCACAGATACAATTACAGTGAAGAACGTTTAAGTCTGTGACCATCAGTAATTGAAAATACATAACAAAGAATGTTACTACCTAAAAACTTGCCTTCTATCTTAAGACGTCATAAATTCTTCTGATAGCTCAGATGGCATCAAACTTCGCGTTTATTTCCCCTAGTAAAAATGAATTCACACGAAAGCAATTCCCTGCCACTTTCCTGTGACTGCAGTTGGAAGACTTATTACCGTAACCCTAGACCGCCTCTTTGCCCCAGGGACATGCCAGCAATGAGCAATGGAATAAATATAGATGTGCCCTGGCTGTCCTTCAGCAGCGTGCTACTTGAGCGTCACCAGGATGAATGTCACACACCAAGAAAAGGCTCTGAGGGTTGATTCCTGGATCTGAAGTACTTGGAACAATTGTACAGACCCCTTGCTAAAGTCAGAGCACCCTCTCACTTTCTGAGCTGGTATTAATAAACCCAGCAGAGTACAGTCATCGACTCTAGGTGTGACTTGCAAGGCTGTAGTGCTGGGCAGAGTATCGTGTGTGGGACACACAGAATGTGCACGCTGCACAAACGAACTCAAACAGCAGGACTCGTACTTACAGCGTTGCTGCATGTTTAAATGGCAGTATCTGTTCTGTTCTTTCCAGAAGTTGCATGGCAAAGTCCTTCTCTCTATTAAATTAGCAGAAGCCTTACTATGGGGCTGAGTTGGAATCAAGATTACATTCTAGGAAAAAAAAAAAACCTTTAAAAATCAGAATTTAGAAAAAAATCAGGAATCATAGTGTTGCATACACGTATTATTCATATACATACATCCCCACCCTGTATGTGTACGCTAGAGCACTGGAAAGCTAACTGTAGTGAAGAAAGTGGCCAACGGCCCAGCAAGGGAGGGTTTTCATGGGAACGTGTCCCTTCAGTCTGTGCTCAGTAGTGCTGCACCTGGTAAAAACCAGGCTGTATATCACCACCGATTATTGTGATTGCTGTAGCATTCAGCTTTATGTATCCACTCAAACCCACAGTTGTCCAGCAGGCACAATCTTCTCCTTGTCCACATGCTACTAAGCAAGCCTTGCTGGTGAGAGGTTTGAGGCACGTTTGAGGATGCTGCATTATATATATGTCTGGAGCTCAGGGGACAGCAGAAGGGGAAATGTCTATTGGATCTTGACACAGCTCTGCTTTTCCCTCCTTTTCCAATTATTAAACTTGGTGTCATTTTCTCAGATTTCTAGCAGTGCAATTGTTTGTTGTTTCAGTAATGAATTACAAGTTAATTACCCATGTAGTCCTGATCTCATTACCGCTGACAGCGCCTCTATCATCTGTGAGATCAGAGCAGAAATGTTTTCACATAAATGAGGTAGCCTTTGCTGAAATGTTAACATTTATGCTGTCAGACAGATTTTATAAATTTTTCAAATGAGAACTTATTTTTGTCCTTATACTGTTAAGCAACACTATCTTGCAGGCCTGAATTTGTTCAAAACTTAGTAATGTCAGCTTTTCTTCCAAAGAGTAGAATATAACATTCTGTTTACCATGAATGCCACTTGGCCTCGCACACAAGGCCTGGGTAAGAGATACATGCTACATAAACCCCCCTTTGCTCCCCCCTCCCCTCAGTCGCAGTCAAGGGCTTGTTGTCCAAGTGGTGAGAAGGGGTGAGTGGCATTCCTCAGGGGTCAGTACTGGGACCAGTTCTGTTTTCCATCATTGCTGGTGACATTGATGACATGGATGTTGGGATTGAGTGCACCCTCAGCACGTTTGCCAATGATGACACCAAGCTGTGTGGGAGTGGTTGACATGCTAGAGGGAATGGATGACATCCAGAGGGACCTGGATAGGTTTGAGGGGTGGACCCATGCAAACCTCATGAAGTTCAACAAGGCCAAGTGCAGGCACCTGTATGTGTATCAGGGCAATCCCAAGCACAAATACAAGATAGACAGAAAATCGACTGAGAGCCACCCTGAGGAGAAGGACTTAGCAGTGTTGGTGGATGAGAAGCTCAACATGAGCTGGCAATGCACGCTTGCACCCAGAAAGGCAACCACATCCTGGGCTGCATCAAAAGCAGCGTGGCCAGCAGGGTGAGGGAAATGATTCTTCTCCTTTGCTCTGGTGAGACCTCACCTGGAGTCCTGCATAGAGAACAAGTCATATGAGGCGAGGCTGAGGGAACTGGGCATGTTTAGTTTGGAGAAGAGGAGGCTGAGGGGGGACCTCATTGCCCTCTACAACTACCTGAAAGGAAGTTGTAGAGATGGCCTCTTCTCACAAGTGAATAATGACAGGACCAGAGAAAATGGTCTGAATTTGTGGCAGGGGAGGTTTAGATTAGGTATTAGGAAGAATTACTTCAGTGAGCGAGTGGTCAGGCACTGGAACACTCAGGGAGGTGGTGGAGTCACCATCCCTGGAGGTATTTAAGACATGTGTAGACGTGGCTCTTCAGGGCCCGTGATTGTTGGTTTGTGTCTGTTTGTGGGTGTGTTTTTTTGGTGTGGGTGGTTTTTTGTTTAGTTTTTTTGTTTGTTGGTTTGGTTTTTTTTGTGGCTGGACTCGATGATCTCAGCAGTCCCTTCCAACCATGGAGATTCCGTGATTCTGTGATCCAGCTCTGGGGCACCCAACATAAGAAGGACATGGACCCGTTGCAGCAAGTCCAGAGGAGGGTGACAAAGATGCTCTGAGGGCTGGAGCACCTCTGCAATGAAGACAGGCTGAGAGAGTTGGGGTTGTTCAGCCTGGAGAAGAGAAGGCTCTGGGGAGACCTTAGAGCCCCTTCCAGTACCTAGAGGGGGCTAAAGGGAAGGCGGGGAGGGACTCTGTCAGGGAATGTAGTGAGAGGATAAGGGGTTATGGTTTTAAACCAGAAGAGAGGAGATGTAGATCAGATGTTTGGAAGAAATTCTTTGCTGTGAGGGTGGTGAGGCACAGGTTGCTCAGAGAAGCTGTGGCTGCCCCATCCCTGGAGGTGTTCAAGGCCAGGCTGGATGGGGCTTTGAGCAGCCTGGTCTGGCGGGAGATGTCCCTGCCCGTGGCGGGGGGGGTGATCTTTAAGGACCCTCCCAACCGAATGACATGGCGGGGCCCTGAGGTGAGGCCCCTCCTCCCCCCGCCCGCCCCGTGTCTCGCGCGCCCCGCCCTCCACACTCACAGCTGCTCGTTTCAACGAACTTTTTCCTCCCTCCAGACGTGGCTCTTCAGGGCCCGTGATTGTTGGTTTGTGTCTGTTTGTGGGTGTGTTTTTTTGGTGTGGGTGGTTTTTTGTTTAGTTTTTTTGTTTGTTGGTTTGGTTTTTTTTGTGGCTGGACTCGATGATCTCAGCAGTCCCTTCCAACCATGGAGATTCCGTGATTCTGTGATCCAGCTCTGGGGCACCCAACATAAGAAGGACATGGACCCGTTGCAGCAAGTCCAGAGGAGGGTGACAAAGATGCTCTGAGGGCTGGAGCACCTCTGCAATGAAGACAGGCTGAGAGAGTTGGGGTTGTTCAGCCTGGAGAAGAGAAGGCTCTGGGGAGACCTTAGAGCCCCTTCCAGTACCTAGAGGGGGCTAAAGGGAAGGCGGGGAGGGACTCTGTCAGGGAATGTAGTGAGAGGATAAGGGGTTATGGTTTTAAACCAGAAGAGAGGAGATGTAGATCAGATGTTTGGAAGAAATTCTTTGCTGTGAGGGTGGTGAGGCACAGGTTGCTCAGAGAAGCTGTGGCTGCCCCATCCCTGGAGGTGTTCAAGGCCAGGCTGGATGGGGCTTTGAGCAGCCTGGTCTGGCGGGAGATGTCCCTGCCCGTGGCGGGGGGGGGGATCTTTAAGGACCCTCCCAACCGAATGACATGGCGGGGCCCTGAGGTGAGGCCCCTCCTCCCCCCGCCCGCCCCGTGTCTCGCGCGCCCCGCCCTCCACACTCACAGCTGCTCGTTTCAACGAACTTTTTCCTCCCTCCTTCGCGCGTGCGCGGCACGAGCCCCGCCTCCCACTCCTCTCATTTTCTTACTTATTTTCGTGCCGGCCCCGTGAACGGCCCCCCGGCCGGCCAATGGGTGGGCGAGCTTCCCGTGACGTGCCGCTCCGCGCGAAGGCCCCGCCCCCTCGCCGGGTGCGCGTGACACCTCGCCGGCCGGTGGGTTTCTGTTTCGCTCGGCCCGGGCCGCCCCGCGGCCGCCATCATGGAGCCGCAGCCCGACAGCCTGGAGGGGTGGGTGGCCGTGCGCGACACCGCCTTCGCCGAGCCTCGCCCGCTGCGGCTCCGCTTCCTCGTGGCCTGGAACGGCGTGGAGGGCGCCTTCGCCGTCACCTGCCACGGCCGGGCGGAGGATGCGGCGGAGGCCCCGCAGAGCTGGGCCGGCCTCTTCTCGGCACCGGCCCTGCGCGGCGTCCACCGGCAGCTGGCGGCCGTCTGCCCGCGCCTGGAGCCCGCCTTCCCCGCCGTGCCGCCCACGCTGCCCGGCGCCACCGCCGGCGGGCTCTGGGCCGTGCTGTTCCCCGGCGGGGCGGCGCCGGACGAGGCCGAGGTGCAGGAGCTGTGCCGGGAGCTGGAGCGGTACCTGGGCTGGGCCCTGGAGCTCTGCGGCGGCCGCGTGGTGCTGGACACCCTCTTCGCCTCCGACCGCCGCCGCGACGACGAGTACTTCGAGAGCCTCCACGAGTTCCGCGGGAAGGCCCTGCGCGGCCACCTGACCCGGGCCAAGGAGGCCTTGCGGCGGGTACGGGCCCCGGGGCCGGGCGGGGGGCGCGGAGGGGCCGCCCCCGGCGGGGCCTGAAGGGGGCAGCGGCCTGGGCCAGCCTCGCTGAGGGGGGCAGCAGGCGCCTCTGGCCTGGCCTGGGGGTGCCCCAAGCTGGGCTGGCCTGGGGCTGTCCCTGGGGGGTGCGGGGCGGGGGTGCTGCAGCGCCACCCCTGCTCTCCGTGCAGGGAGAAGCAGGTTCCCCTCGGTGTAGGACCGATTTCAGCAGGGCTCGCAGGTGCTCCTCTCCGAGCCTCAGTTTAGCAGCTCTTGGTCAGCCGGGAGGTGCGTGTTTGAGGCTGGCAGCCTCTGCCACGAGTGCTTCCCTCGCTCGGGTCAGGCTCGCACTGGGGTAATGTGAACAAGGGTGACCGAGTCACTAATGTCACTCTGCTGATAGCATTGTCCGATGTTCAGATTACTGCTAACACAAACACTTTTTTGGTTGTCTGGAAGCCGCTAAGTCAATTTTCCCAAGCACTGAGTGTCATCAGTCTTTGTAAGCACCACTTTATTAAGTGGGGAATAAGCCAGCCCCGGGTGGGCAGTCCCTGTAAGACATTGGGGTGCTTACTTAAGCTTCAAGTGCTCCTACAAAAACACCTTGCTAAAAATATCCAGCAGTGTTGTGCAATGGGTTGAATGGTAACCGAAAGGGAAAGAACAATCATGCTGTCATTTTCTCACCTCCCTGTGAAGGTCTCTGGCTGCCTGTTTGCAATGATTCCTATAACTGGGGGGTTCTCAGTCAAGTATATTGAAACCAAACTGAGCCATGGACCTATGCCAAATAGGTGTTTTATAGTCAGAAATTGTGGCATGTCTTTTCTAAGTGTCAAATTCTGGCCTAATTATTGTATGAATTAGTGATGATTTTTGCCCTTTCTACCTTTGGTACCATAAGTTTCTTCTTGTGCTGATTTTTCCCCCCTTGTAGCAATCGTGACTTCAAAGAATGGTATCTAGTAACATGCTTGCAAATAAGACATTGGCATGTTTAAATAAGGGTTAGAGATCACCATTGTGTTGCTGCTATACTTTTCTTGCAGTATGTTTGCACTCTATTTCCTGGCAAAACAAGCTGAAAGGTGTTTTATGAAAATGATTGTGCTTTGGGGGAAAGTTGAGACAGTTGGCTTTAGCCTTCTGTTTCCTATTTCACTAGTTAACAGTTGTAACAACATTACTGTTTCAGAAAAACACTGTTTTTAAAAACACAACTTTAGTTTACATGAAGTTCATGCACAAAGTTGTATAAAAAGACTACAGTTTCTGTAACTGACCATAACAGTTCATGGCCCAGTTAGAAGTACTTTCTGGCCACCATGATCTGTTGCAGGCAGCACAAGCATGTACAGCCATATGGTGGTTTGGTAGTTAGGCATAACTCAGTAGCAGTTATTCTGGTATTTCTAACTATATTTTGGATATGGCTAAACACGCTGTAGAGTGTTCCTGTATTTGCAGGCCTAACAGGGATATAAATTCATTATATTGCAGTCTAGACCAAGTTATGCAGGATTCAAGAAGTAAAACTTGCCTCTTCTAGCACTAAACTGGCCTTAAATATCAGAGCATCCTTACCTTTTTATATCTACGTCCTTCTCAAATACTTCATCCTCTGGGCCAGGAAATTAATTTTGAAGAATGCAGAAGGTACCCGGTACAACATGGAGGAGAGTAGTACTGTGTAAATACTTCTTTTGTGTATGTTCAAAGACAAAAGAAGAAAACTAAGAGCAATACTGTTAAAACAACCGCAGGAGTCACTTGGGCTAATGGTGAACCAAAATTCTATGAAAAGAATATCATATTGTGTAAAACCAAGGTTTTTAGTTTAAAACAGAAAACAAAAAGAACCAAACCCTGGTAATGAATAATTTTGTCATGAGTTGGCTTTAAAATTTAACTGGTACTTCCCTTCTACTCAGTATAAACATCCCCAGGAGCAGCATGACCCTCACTGCTTGCTTTGAGTATGGGAACCAGAGGGTGAAGTACTGTGTTTCTATTTGGCTTTGATAGTGGGGGAAAAAGCAGACTGCTAAATTGCTGCAGGGCCCTAGGACTGCGTCTGGGTTTCCACAAGCTCCTGGGGAAGCTGAAGGGGCTACAGGACTTCTTGGATTATCAGAAATGGTGCCATTCAGATCCCCTTGTTCCCCCATCCTGCCTGTGCCAGGCCTGAAGGGGGGGAAATGCCCTTGAGCTGACTTCCGCAGATTTTCCCTATGGAAATGCCTCCACAGCTGGGAACTTCACTCCTGTTAACTTACCCAGACTCAGCTGGCAAGAGCAGAGGTGATGGTTTACTTCCATTGCTTTCCAGTTGCAACACAATCAAGCTTATGTTTCTAATACTTTTTCTCATTGTTGTAGCACCAAACATCCTCTGTCCCTCCTTACAGAGCTGTAGAGCAAACACTGTCCTTCCAGGAAAGTCTGTGTTTCTCCGTGGAACTTTGCTCTGTTCTCTCAGCTGGCTCACTCTGTCTTGGCACACAGAGCACACCGTGGTTTAAGCTAGCTGCTGTCAAAGAAGAATCTCTGAATCTTTGGTGCCAGTAAACAAATGTAACTGAGGGGAAGTTTTCAACTTTGTATTTTGTCATAGAAGCAAATAAAGACCTTAAGTAAGGACTAGTGTATCAGAAAGGCAGGTGGTCCATGGGAGAATTACAAGTTACAAAGTTTAGTATCACTGGAACTAAGATTAGAATGAATTATAAATTATACAAATGTTAAAGGAATTTAACTGCAGGGTATATCAGGAGTAGAAATCTGTTACTGAATTCTTATTTTTAAATGGCAATCTGATTTTTCTATGCCCACAGCCAGAAATTCTGGATGAAACTCCTTGCATATTAGCAGGCATTTAGTAATTGTGGAAGCAATGCAAGAGCTAGTTTTAGAATACCTTATTTGTCCTTCCAGTACACAGACTTCCCCAGTTTCCCATATGTGTCTATAAATAGCAGCGACCAAGTCATCTGCACACAGCTATTAGAACTTCTGCGGTGGTAGCCCTAGGCGTGAGTCTCCTTGCAGTCTCCCAGTGCAATATGCAGCAATTAGTGCCTTTAACAGTGTGGTGTTAACGATATTTCCAGCTGGGGGTGGCTGTGGCTGCTGGATGCCTGGGGTACGCCTCCTGTGCAATGGGAAGCCTTGTCTGTTCATCGACTGACAAAGGGCAGGTCCTTTCCACCAAAGCTCATCAGCACACACAGATGCAAAGCATCCAAGTCTGATTTACCTTTTATCCCACTAGGTTCTTCAGCAGCATAAAAATGCTGACACAATGGTGGCTTTGATGAAGGTTTATGAAGAGGAAGACGAAGCTTATCAGGATTTGGTCACCATGGCAACACAGTTCTACCAGTATTTACTGCAGCCCTTCAGAGATATGCGAGAGCTGGCGACACTCTACAAACTGGAAATCCTGGTAGGTCTGCCTTTACAAAAGTGAAAGGCCAAGTTATATAGTAGGGCATCAGCAGCTCTTGGAGCATTTAAGACTTAAATCACTTAACATTTCCTACTTCTGTCTGTACCTGCTTTTTTTTTATTTCCCCTGCCAAGCCACCAAATGTGACTGAGAAATTCAGAGTTAAGGCAGAATCACTCTCAGAAGATCTGAGAGTCCATGGTATTGGCTTGAATAACACTGCAGCTGTCTTCCCAGCAGTGTCCCACCTCCCTCTGCTTTGAGGAATTAAAAGGAAAACATTGCCAAGCTCCACCTCTCTAGCACTTAGTCTCTGGTAGGCTGAATTTACAGAGATCCAATTAGTGGGGTGGTTTGTGACATTGAGAATGCCATCCCTCAGCAATGCTGATGCACCAGGTTAGCTCAGTTGTGGTGGTGGAATAGAAGGCAGAGGACACCTTACCACATAAAGCAATTTCCTGTTGCTGCTACAACCTGCTGAAAGTACAGATTAAAACATGTTCGTTATCACTGTTCGTTTAATTTTATGTGCATCTTAAACTGGAAGCACATACTGAAAGCTGTGATGCCCCTGGAAAAGACAGCCATCTACTATTTTGATTTTTCCTTAAATAGTCTGTGAAAATTGAAGTGAGCTGTTCTCGAAAAGAGCAGAACAGTTTTAAGTTTAGACTAAGATTCTTGGATACCGAAAGTCTAAATCTGTGGAGATAAAATATCTCGTATGCTGTACTGAAAATTTAAGTGAAAATTGGAATGGCTGAAACAGAAAGATTGTTTCTGTATAAAACAACCTCTAAGGGATATTTAGGCTCAACTTGATATCTAATTATTTAAAAAAATATTTGAATACTAGTCTTGTACCCATGTACACTTGGTGGACTTGAAAATACACTCTTACATTTCTTTTCTATATCGCTGTTCCTGTGTGAAAGAACTGCCAACCCGGAGAACCTGAGAGTGCAATGTGCTGTCAACACGTGGGGAAAAATAGAAGAGAACATTGCACGTAGAAGAGTCGTTTTGAGTTACTTTTAGTAACAACTAAAAACACTTGTGTTGGACATGATGTTTAAGATGATAGTTTAAAAATGCCTTAAGAAGTAAATTAATCCAAAGTTAAGCGTGGAGTCATAATTGGGGAACAAAGACCCTGAGTTTAGCCCAGAGAATGCACAAGGCAATACACATACACGAATAGTGATTTGCTTTGTGTCAGGTGAGGGGGAAGGTCATGTTTGCCATTGTGCTCTGCCTTGCTTGAAATGTCTGCAAGTGTAGCATAATACGGGCTGCACCACTGTTGTAACTGAGAGTTTTGTCTCCTTGCAGAAATCTTTGCAGTATGATAATTTGGGGCCTAAAAGAGTAGCAGCTCTGCAGAAAGATGCTGAGGAGTGGACTAGGCGAGCTGAGAGTGCTGTATGCTCCATTCAGGATATCACTGTGAACTACTTCAAGGAAACTGCAAAGGCTCTGGCAGGTAATCAGAATGATATACACAAAAAGGTTGTGTAAATACTTGACTTGAGGGATTGAGAGCTCTTTTTATCACCTTTGCTGGTCTCTCTCTGCAGACCCTGAGGTTAGGATGAGTGTCCAGCTTAAGAAGCATTATCTTTTAACCAATTTGGCTTACAACTTGCATTTGACTTGCACACAAACATTATGAAGACCTGAGAGTTATGGCTGCAAACCTCTGAACAAAAACCATGCATGCTTTTAACACTTAATATGCGAGCCTCAAGGATTTCAGTATGTTAGCTGAGTAGATCACTGTGTAACTGTTACGGCATGTTTCCATGGTACAATGAAGTATTTTACTTGTATAGAATCATAAATTCAACCTTTTAGTTTTCTAATTTGTAAAGAAGCTTCAGAAATTCTTTAATAGCATCAACATTTTTAGTACTGCAGCTATAGTAGAAACACAAAAGGGCTATCTGTACTCTGAATTTCTCATCTCTTATTTCAATGTTCTAATCTGCAGCAATGCACAAACAGATGGAACAAGATCAGGAAAGATTTGGTAAAACCTCCTGGGCATCAGCTTTGCCACGACTAGAAAACCTGAAATGTATGTTAGCTAAAGAAACCCTTCAGCATCTGCGAGCAAGAGAGTTGTGCCTGAAGCAGAAGAGAGCTGGCATTCAGAAAAATGTAAGACCTTCAAAAGCTTCCTTTTCTGTCACAGGTTTTGGAAGGGCTGATCAAAACCTGCCAAAGTGGTCATGAGAGTAAACTGTCAAAATCTTTGTCTACGAAACAGCTTAGGTTTTCAACATGGGTTTAATTTGTGGAAAAATGCATGTCTCCAGTTTTTTTAAAATTGCTCCTGCACATATGAGGACACTTAGTGAAGGTTAAGATGCATGCTTTTGTAGTTCAAGTGTTGTGTTAGCATTTGTGATATTAACCTTTAAAATTGTTAGTTTTAGGGAGATGAAGACAGATACTATTTTCAGAGGACACTGGAAAATAAAGATACTTATTTAATTTTAATCTTCTGATCTTGATTTGATGCTATCTAACTGCTGCTATGAGTACCTGGCATTTATTTTCCAAGAGTAGTGTACTGCACCATATATAATTGTTTTCAGGAGCAGTATTGTTTGTGCAGATTATAATGGAAGTCTTTCCTGGTAGACTTAAGGTAAAAGTACACTTCATGTTAATAAGGCTTTCTGCTCCTCTGAGTTTCTGCTCCAAGCCATTTCTAAAGTTCTGTGCTTTCCATACCAAAGCACTTAAGCAGCTGCCAGTTAGGCCAGGCTCTGTACAGGTATTTGTGCATCCATGCATTTTTCATGTGTGCATATTTTGTTATTAATGCTTTTTATTTTCTATTTGGGGGTATACAGATGGAAAACCTCAGTGAACAGGAAGAGAACCTAACTGTAGTGGAGGAGCTGGAAATACACTATTATGAAACCCAATTGGAATTATATAATGTACAGCTTGAAGTATTGAAACATGAAGAGATGCTGCTTATCGCACAGTTGGACACTTTAAGGAGACATATTAAAGGTAAGAATAAACAAATATTAAACATGTATCCAAAACATAGGAGTGATATAGCCTGCTCTGTTTTCACTTAACAAAAAAATAAAAAAAGGAGGATTGTTACTGCTCAGGTCTTGATAGTAGAAAGCATCTTTGGAAAACACCGCACAATCTGGTGATTTGTCTTCTGACTAACTAGGCATTAATTTGATAATACAAGTTTTTTTAAAAAAAACCACTGTTAGCTCATCTTGACAGTAGCTGTGATATGTGCATGCACTGGTTTAGCGTATGGAGTAACTTATATTGAAAATATTTAACCATGCTTATAGTTACAGGATCTATGCATAGAAACTGTTGATATCATCACCTGCTGAAATGGGCCCTGAAATTCATCACAAAGCTGTTGTAGTTTAACATATAGAAATTGCAACATCCTGTAATGACAAAAAGAGGTGATTATAGTTAGATGGTACTTCAGTACTGCTATATTCCAGTGTCTCTTCGTAACATATTTATGACCAAATTAGGCACTAGTCTTGTTGTACTCATTTGTGCTTATGAATTCTCTATGACTGCGTACACTGTGAAGTAAACATTGTTCCTGCTTGTTGCATAATTAAAACCTGGTAAATAGTAAAATAAGTCACCCAGTGTTGTTCGGAACAGTCTTCAGTTTTCCAGGAAAACTCCAGTCGGTGAAGGTAGGAGTTAAAGCACAGAGAGACATTTGAAAGAGGAAGCTAAACAACAACAAATGCTAACAGCATAAATTTGATCCTGCAAAGCGCCCCTGTGAGTAATGTCACATGTTTGCGTAAGACTTTGAGGGACCAAGCTCGGCTCTGGAGCATTATACTTTCTACTAACTCACTCACTGCCTTCAGTGGCTTTTAAAATGTCATTAGTTCTTTAAATGTTTAAATAACTGTGGCAATTTTTGGTTTTTTAAAAAAATGCCAAATGCCTTTTTAGAGAAACAGGATGAAGTTGTTTACTATGATACATGTGAAAATCCTGAGGAGCTCAAGGTCATTGAACAGACAATGGGACAACATTACGCTAACTTGTCAGAAATGACGATGCTGAGGCAGAAGACTAAGCAGTTGGAGACAAAGCGTGGGACTGTCTGTGCGAGGAGAGCCTACCTCAGGAACAAAAAAGTAAATGCAGTCCTGGAGATGTGCATTTTCTTTAGCTGATATCTTGACTCATGAGGGATGGACAGGAAACAACCAGGGAAGCGTTGGGTGGAGCATACAAGATGATACGTGACTCAGTGCTGAGGCCACCACACAGAAAGAGGGGCAATGTGATTTTAAGCTTTACACTCCACTGTGTGGTGCAAGTGCCTCCCGGGTTTATTAAGAGAGCACAAACTTACATGGATGACCCAGGAGGTGTTCCTCTATCAGCCAAACCTTACCAGAGCCCCGCTGTGATCAGCTGGAGCTTTCCCCTGGCAGAGTTTTACAAAGCAGCTGCAGTAAAGGAGGAAACCTGGCCTACAATGAGGGAAGCTGCAGTGACAGAGCAACCCACACAGTGATACTTACTTGAGCCTTGAATGGGAGGGAGGGGAAATTTAAACTGCTGCAGTTCTCTCTCCAGCCTCTCAGTTCTGTGCAAAGGGCAGTTTTTTCCTTTGCTTCCCATTCAGAGCAGAGCACTAGGAAGACAAGTGAGATCACAGTTGACTCTCACGAGCCTTCCCAGTGAGCTGAGCTTGCTTTACACCTGCACAGTTCTGCTGGGGCAGAGACCAGAGATTAAGCTCAAGTCTATCTGGCCTTTTACCCCTCACTAGCCTGGACAAAATGGGAATGACATTGGAAATGTTTTGTGAGCCATCATTGTCTCTTGCTTGCAACTGCTTCCTCGGCAGGTGCTTCCTTTGCTTCTGTTTTCATTCACTTAATTGCTGTCTGTTGGTTGTATAACACTAATGCCAAATGCCAGATGATTTGCAAATGCTTACCCAGCCGTGTGGATAAGCCCCTGCTGTACAGTGACAAATAGCGACTCCCAGAGAAAATACTGAAGCCTGCAGCTTCTCTGTGGCACTTTGTTACTAACAGAAGGTACCCATGTTAGGCACTTGTGCTTCCCGTGCCTTTGCTTCCCCAACTTTTGTACTTGCAAGCTATGGTAAAGAAGGGGCAGGGGGAAAGTAGCCTTGTATTTTTGTAATGCCCTGCTAGCTTCCCTCTTGCCTTCCTCATGGCTTTGCACCCCTTCCCTCCAGCTGGTACCTGGATGCAATTTCTTCAGAGCTTGCTTCTGCTTCTTTTTCTTTTTTTCCTTCTGCTTTTTTTTTTAAACCTAAATGTAATACAGAGGGATCAGTTCAGATCTGGGTCTATTTCCTCTGCAGCATGAATAACCCTAATAGGGTTATTATACACCAATTAGGAGAACAAAAGATCCCATTGGCTTTAGCCATGAAGGAATCCCACAGGCTTCACCTTCAGGGTCTCGCATCTGCCACTGGTTGAGCTTAGCCATCCTTCTTGGCACAGCCAAGCACTTGGCCTTGGTCACTGTTTAGTGGCTTCTGCACAGGAGTTGATGGCACAGATGGTGCACAGTAAATGTGAACTAACCAAGGGTTGCATGAATTTTGCTGTTCTACCAGGATCAATGTGAAGTGAGCCATCGGCAGAGACTGCAACAGGCAGAAGAGAGCAAAAAACGCTTCCTGCAGCATCACAGTATACAGATTGTGAGTACCAAGTAGCAGCCTTGGAGAATCTGGCAGCTGCTTGTTTTTACACACTAATCCTCACTTACTTGTATTCTAATGCAGAAGAGAGACAAGCAAAAAGAGGAGGAGAAAAAGAAAAAAGCTTGGATAAGCCAGGAACGTCAGAAAACACTGGAGAGGCTGAAAACATTCAGGGAGGCAAGTACTGTGAACGCAGTAGTCTGGAATGGTGTCAAAATACAGCATCAGAAAATAGCTGTAGCTCATGTGTGAGCATGGTCCAAACCAGAGACCACTATCTGGATAGCCTAAAAAGAGGGTTGTGTGTAATGACTCAAAAGGATAAAATCCACTAAGGATATAGTTTCCAGATGCAGACCCTGTTGCAAAGAATAAAAGTGAGGAAATGGCTTTGAAAGAAATACCTTGATAGTCATTTGAGTCTGTTCAGGGTTGAATTTTCTGCTTGAATGGGTGAGTGGGAGAGGTCTGTACTCTGTGGCTTTTTTTGTTTCTTTGGGGTTGATGTTTTGGACAGTCCAGTGCAGATGTGACCTCCTGCCTTATGATTTGTTTTTCAGAAGTGTCCAGGTCATGTTGTTCTAAAAACATCTCGTCCCCAGCCTCTCAGTCCCAAGTTGCCACGAAGCATCACTCAGCAGGTTGCAGTACTGTCCCATCCACCTTCGTCGAGAACAAGGGCAGCTCCAGAGCAGCCAAAGAGCATACTGCTAGTAGAAGCCAAAGAATCAGAAGCTTCTCATCAGAATACCCCAGCAGATATCCCTGTCCAGATATTTGTTAATGATGGTGACACAGAGCAACAAAAGCACAGCAAGGGATTGATGGTCTCTTCATCCTCCCCACCACCACCACGTTCAGGATTGATGATCTCTCCGTCCTCCTCCCCACCACCTCCAGGACTGATGGTCTCTCCGTCCTCCTCCCCACCACCATCACCACCTCCAGGACTGATGGTCTGTCCCTCCTCCTCACCCCCACCACCACCTCCAGGACTGATGGTCTCTCCATCCTCCTCCCCACCACCACCATCTCCAGGACTGATGGTCTCTCCATCCTCCTCCCCATCACCACCACCTCCCAGACTGATGGTCTCTCCATCCTCCTCCCCACCACCACCATCTCCAGGACTGATGGTCTCTCCATCCTCCTCCCCATCACCACCACCTCCCAGACTGATGGTCTCTCCATCCTCCTCCCCACCACCACCATCTCCAGGACTGATGGTCTCTCCATCCTTACCGCCACCACCACCTCCTCCACCACCTCCTCCTCCACCCCCTCCTCCCCCACCTCCCCCCTTACCTCTCCAGTTAAAGACACCATTTGCAGCAGAGGATAAGCCACTTCCCCTTCGCTCCGATGGCCCCACAGAGCGCCCTGCACTGCACAAACAGGATGACTCATCCAGGAGATCTATAAATAATTACGTAGGTAAGAAGGCTCACGTTGACTGGTGTTTTTTTCTTTGTTTCCTTTATTTCTCTGTTCTCTCCCTCTCTGTGGTTCTGGACAGGAATAGTGCGCAGTCTTACTCAAGAGAATGGAAAGCTTAGTCTAAGAAACCACATGTGATAACACTGACTGTAACTCAGGGTGTTAAATGAGTAACAATGATTTGTGTATTCTGTTTGATACACTTCACAGGGTCCTGAGTGTGTGACTCAGCAATTGGACAGATCAATCTTTTAGGACATTTGGACTTGAATCTGCTGGAATCCTTAATTATTAAGTACAGCCTTAAAGGTTTAAACTGTGTGTTATAGTTTAACCCCAGCTGGCAACCAAGCACCATGCAGCCGCTCGCTCACTCTTGCCCAGTGGGATGGGGGAGAGAATCAGAAGAGTACATGTGAGAAAACTCATGGTTTGAGATAAAAACAGTTTAATAAGTAATGCAGCCGCTCGCTCACTCTTGCCCAGTGGGATGGGGGAGAGAATCAGAAGAGTACATGTGAGAAAACTCATGGTTTGAGATAAAAACAGTTTAATAAGTAAAGCAAAAGCCCCCCCACATGAGCAAAGCAAAACAAGGAATTCATTCATCACTTCCCGTGGGCATGCCAGGTGCTCAGCCATCTCCAGGAAGGCAGGGCTCCATCGTGCATAACAGTTACTTGGGAAGATAAATGCTGTAACTCCCAACGTCTCCAACCCTTCCTTCTTCTTCCCCCAGCTTTGTATACTGAGCATGACATCAGATGGTATGGGATGTGCCTTTGGTCAGTTGAGGTCAGCTGTCCCCACTGTGTCTCCTCCCAAATTCTTGTGTACCCCCAGCCTACTCACTGGTGGGGTGGGGGGAGGAGCAGAAAAAGCCTTGACTGCTGAGCAAAAGCCAAAACCACCAGCGTGCTGTCAACACTGTTTCCCATCCCAAATCCAGAACAGCACTATACCAGCTGCTGTAAGAAATTAGACACTGTCCCAGCTGAAACCATGGCCCCGTGCTTAATCACAGCACTGCTAGTTCTGTGGAGATCTTAATTCAGGACCTGCCGTTCTCATGATGCTGAAAATCCCACTGCTGCAATAGGCAGGAAGGTGTCAGAAGAAATTCCAAGGAGAGAGGATTTATTCATGTTGTTTGGTGAGAAGCAATTTTTATTATGGGGTTTGTTCTTGCCAAGAGTTTGCAACTTTTGAACCAAATGTGGTATTTTGACTGAGAATTAATCGCCTGTCCAGTCAGAAGACCACTGTGGGTAAATTTGTGGTTGTAGTAAGACTACACTTTATGATTTATGTACTCCAGAGCTCGCAGTTGGGCTGTTTGCATTTCTAAGGTCTGCACAGCCTGTGTCCACTTACAATTTGCTTGGTTTCTAAATAAAGGTTTCGTCAGAGCAGTCATGCAGAATTCAACCAGGATTTGAAAGGCAGATGGATAGTGTTGGCATACTAACATTCCTAGGACAAAAATCCTGTTCAGTTACACCTCTGCTTTGTTAGCAAGATCATGCAGGTGTAATTGAAGGCTGAACTCAGCAATTGAAACAGTAGTTTGAATGAGAATAGAGCTCAGCAGCCTCCCGAGGCTGCACTGGTTACATCCTGCTAACAGGCTTATTTTTATCTCTAAAGCAAGCAGATATTTTTACTCTGTCAGGGAGATTAATCTAAGTTGGAAGACAGCAATTTTTTATTGTCATTTTTCACTGTGGAGCTTATGCTAGAACGAAGCATGTCTTTAAATGTGGTACATTCCTTTTCCTTTTCATACTATTCACAATACATCTAAGCAGCCTTTGTATCCTCTCAGTTAAGAGGCAAACTGCGGGCAGAAATCCCGAGGAAAGTTCAGCATTTTCAGTTCTTCCAAGGTGTGGGGAAGTACGAGAGCTGGAGGGCTGAGGCAGCCGAGTTACGATGCCAAGCTGCTGCGCATCCAGTGGATCGGTGAGAGGCATCAGCCAGGGAAGGCCATGGGATAACTCCACCACAGATACTCTGAAGCAGCTTTGATTAGAAGCAGGAGTTGCACACCAGAGCAGTTTGATTGCTGCTGGAACAGCCATGCTAGTAGCTAATATTTACTACCATTCACAGCCTAACATAGATGTCCTTTCATTGTTTTTGGTTAAGAAAAATCCTGTTTCGTTTATTGGAGAGATTTGGTTGGTTTTTTATGTATTTCATGAAAAAAACCAGCGTGCTAATTGCTGTAATAGTAATGGATAAAATACTGCCACAGGAACTTACTGAAATAGCTCATAAACAGGTTGTTTTCAGTTACACGTGGGCTACTCGTGTCTTTGCACATGAAAAGCCAGGAGAGGTTTGTATTCTGGTGTTGAAAATACTGTCTGTAATGTGTTAACATACTTTCCAAGGGGAACTTCTTTTAGCATTTCTTAGTCTGACTAGGCTTTTACTGGGCAGCCCGTTTGATTAGTAGACTTAAGGCTTACTTGAAGGCTTTGTAAGACAACTGGGTGGATCTTTGCTTGATCCTTTTCTGGCATCTCAGTCTCAGAAGGTACCATAGGGTTTAGCAGAATGTTACATTTCGAGTGTTTGATGTGAATCGCATAACCTTTTGTGCACTGCGCATGGCAAGAGCACTTCTAGCTGTGAGGCACAGATGGTGTGAACCTGTGGCTGCAGGAGCCAACTGCTGTCCAGGGAAACCACCTCCCTCTCCAGCAGTCTGCAGCAGCCACAGAGAGTCCAACAGAAGGAGTGAAACACAAATTATGGTGCGTATCAAGAGAACTAGCGGAAGCTCTCTCAGTGTGGTGTCCTTTATGGTCTGAAGTTCAGAAACATACACCTGAGATTTAAATCATGCTGTAAAAGGGGAATTATTTTTTAAGTCTGTACAGAAAAGAGCTGCCTGCTTAGGGTATGATCTGGCTCCCACTGACTTCAGTGGTGCAGTTTCAAGCCCTTCTGCTCAAATCCTTTCGTTTTTCTCTTGGCTGAGCAAAAATGCAATTGGCAGTCTCAGCAGGCATCTGAGCGAGCTAGGAGGAAGAGTAGATTGTTTCTAATGCAGAATACAAGAGATTTTTTGGTTCAGTGAAATTTTTTTGAAAGCCCATAAAGTTGTAATGAAAAAGAAGCATCCTCCCTTGTGTATAATTTCTTGCTTAAAGCACAACCTCGTATAATGTTGAAGAGGCGTTGGATTCCCAATTCAAGATGTAAAAGCTTTAACTGTTTTTTAAAAGCAGTTCCAGAGCCTGGTGTTGCAGAAGCTTGAAAGTCTGTGCCAGAACAAACCAGTCTTTTTCCTGTCTCCAGCAAAGATGAAAGGAAGAACCCTGAACACTTGGGTAGGGTTTTATACCTCCGAGTGTGGTTGTCTTCTTCATTCTTCTGGTAACAATAGACTTATCTGTTGCAGGTTCCATGGATGAGGTGTTGGCTTCACTTAAACGTGGTGAAGTTCATCTTCGCAAAGTGGAACCACCAGATCCGTACGCCTCTGTAAAAGACAACATCCTCTCTGCCATAAGGCAAGGAGTTAAACTGAGGAAAGTGAATCGAGATACAGAGAAGGATGTCAGTAATGGATCCACTAATGAGCTAGAGAGAAGCATTAAGGCAGCCATCCAGAGAATTAAAAAAGTGTCTGCTGATTCTGAAGAAGAGGAGAACAATGATCAGGGTAATGGAGAATGGGACAGCTAACGAATTCAGAGTAACAGACTTACTGACTGGAATAGAGTGTGTGTCTCACTTTGCACGTTGTAGAAGACTGTTCCTTTCAAAATGAAAGAACAGCCTGATTGTGTGTTTTCTCATATACAAAAATGCCTTGGAAAAGAATCCTGTTGGTTTTCTATAGGAACTTCAGATTCTTATTTTTGCATGAAAAATCATACTCCAGTACTCTTATGCTTGCATTAATAGGTATTTCTGGCTCAACCATGTAGAGTTTTCACCACATCTGAAGACAGCTAAAATGCTGGATTGTGACACATCATTTAGGTTGTTACTAACACAGTAAGTAATGCTATCACAACAAAGTTTAAGGAGCAAAAAGCTAACTGAAAATTTATTTTGTTAAATGGAAGTTGAACCAAATCCATGGTGATAGAGGCAGAATGGAAAACTTAATCTGGAACCTCTCATTCCTACCTCGGTTGTCCAGAAAATTCTTTAGCATTTTGCTTTTGTAATACAGCTACTCTCAAATAGCTACATGGATACTTCATTTATTGTTACGTTGTAAAGTGTGCAGTTGTGAATAGGCTTGGTAATGCTGATTGGAAAAATTGCTCCAAGTTTGAAATGAACACTACTGTAGTAACTACTGAAAAGTTTACTTTTTAGCAGGAGGCCTAAAATAGGGGATTTTTAGATGCTAAATGTTTTTCATACGTCTACAGTTACAATGAACTGTTGGCATGAAAGAGCCAGCCAAAATATTGTGTATATTTTCTGGGCTCTAGCCCTGTAATGCAGAGCTGCATTTCTCCACTGAGAACATCAATATGTGTTTATAGCTACTTTCATGAATTTAAATTACCTGATAGCCTTATAAATGGCAGATGTTTGTATTGTGCCTGGAACCCGTCTATTTAAAAATTCAGCCACATTCAATTTAGAAACTGTTTCTATTTTGGGTAGGTAGTGACAAAAACGATTCAAAGTTTCTTTTGGAACTTATACTGACCTTTAATAAAATATATCCTGACAGAAGTAGTGGATTCAGAGTGCTCTCATTTTTGGATGCTGCTGGGAAGTAGCACTACTTACACCCTGGTACTCTGGTTTTCATAGCAAGTGGCAGCCGTACAGCATCTGTGCTCGTCACTAGCTGTATGTATAAATGCCCTTATTTTCTCAAATATTTATGAACTGTAATTTGGTAACAGAATTGTAAGCATGGTGCTTTAATTCCCTGTTTTACTGCGGAGTAGCAGATCTGTTTAATCAGCACAGTAAATATGTATGCAACAGTTTTCATGCAAGGCGCAGAAGCAGCAGCTGGGGGTTCATTTTTTACTGTTTCAGCACCTACTGCTATTTGGAAGTCAGAAAAAAAACAACCTTTTTTTTTTTCTTTTTGTTTTTTTCTTGTCCACTGTCATCAAGCAAAACAGAGGCAAGAGTGTCAGCAGCACAGGTAAGTTTTGCACATTCAGGCCTCAGCATCCCAAGCATTGAATTCCTCCTGCAGACTGGAACTGAGGACAAAATCTGGTCCTTTGAGAGGGGAGATGCCTTCCTCAAGGCACCCTGGGCAGAGGGGGTGCTCGGCCAGCAGTGGGGAGGGCAGGGGAAGAGAAAGGTGCCCTGGTATGAGCTGTGCCCTTCAGCAGTGTGGTTAATTAAGGCAAAATTAAAAGGAAAGGGTGCAGGGGCTTGGCTGCCTTCCCTGGCCTGTCCCTCCTGCCAAAAGGCAGCTCTGAGTCCAGGGCAGAGCCCTTCGCCCTTTTATTGCTACAGTTGAATTCTCAGCTAGCGTGTTAGGGAGTAATGTTGCAGTTTAGAGTATGCAGAGAGTAAGTGGGTTGTGATTTCTCCAACAAATCTTACAGCTTTTGTATGTTTAACAGCAGCAATTTTACCCAGGAGAGGCCGTATGAGTAACAGTGATGCTGGACGGTGATTTCTCCTACCTGGAGTTTTGGAAGCGTACCTGAAGCTCAGGTAGGGGCTGATCTCAGGTGTTCAATATCCCAGGCTGAAAAACTTCCTTAAAAACCCTCTCAGAAACCATCTGAAGTTTTTTTCTGAAGCCCACTTCATTTGTGGTATGGCCAGCAGGCCTGCTGTGTGAAAAATGTGCTGCAGCAATTTTGTAGTTGGCATGGCAGAGTCCACCTCTCTCGCCCCTTGGTTCAGTACCAAAGTCTGAAGGATCTCTCTGCAGAGATGAGCCCTGATGGGAACTGGGCTCCCAGGAGGCAGAGCAGCCCTTGCACAGCCTGGAGACCATGGTGGGGTCTTGGCCAGGCCTGTGGGTGCTGCCGGGGCACCACTGCTCCTGGATGTCAGAAACATGACCAGAGCAAGCACCAAAAGCACTGGTGTTAGCCTAAAGAAGAGTAGGCAAGAGAGCAGTTTTCAAATACATAAGAGGTTGCTGCAAAGAGGAGGGGAGTAGTTTGTTCTGCATGTTCACAGGGAGATAACAGGCTTAAATTACAGCCGGAAGGATCAGGTTAACGGCAGGAAAACCTTTGTGACAAACAGTGAGAGCAGAGAGGCGCAGGGACAGGTTGCCTGGGAAGGTGGTGGAGGTTCTGCCACGGGCCATCTCTCACAGCAGGTCAGACACAGCCCCCGAGGTGCTGCTGGAGTGGCTGATGGGCTGTGGCAGGGAGAGGGCTGAGCTGGTGGCCAGCCCATGGATGGAGCTCGCTGCTGTGCTGCCCCGGGGCTCCTTTTGCTCTGCAGGGGAAGCCACAGCTCATTTTCTGAGAGATGCCCAAACGTAAGAAGACTGAAAAAAAAACCAAAAACCCTTACTGGATCACCCTCAGATTTTCCTTCTGACTCTTGGTGACAATGACCTGTCCCGTGCCGCTGGCACCAGGCTGTGAAGGGGGTGGCGGGTAGGAAATGGCCCCAGTGCCCCAAGGCTGTTTTACCCTGGGTTGATGGGACACGCGAGAGAATCCACCACAAGTGTCAGGAGGAGAGAGACCTTAATCTGGATTTGAGCTCAGGCTTCAGCAGGTGCCTTCACACCACGGCAGGTTCGGTGCAGGAGCGGGTGCCATGCGCTTTCCACAACGTGCAAGGGCCAATGGGCAAAATGGGACAGACCGGAGTGACAGGTTGGTTCCGTGATGACCAGCTCTACCAGATTAGATTAATATTAACCTGCAAAACTGCTGTCAACGTTTTTGACATCTAAGACCCTCCTTTAAGTATCTCACCCTGGGCTAATAAATAAATCCCTTGATGGGAATAGTCTGCCCTAACCATCCAGCTGCAGAAATGGCTGTTTGAACTGAAAAAAATATAGATGCCTGGCTTTAAAGAGTTAATAATGCACAGATTTGCTGGGAAGCCTGGTTATGAGGTAAAGAGACCAATTTTTATAAATCAGTATCGCTGTGGCTTGTGATGTCTCTAACTAAACGTGGGCAGGCCAGACAGTAGCTGCCACTATTTTTAGGGAGGTTTAAACTTAATGTATTCAAAGACGACTTGGTCTGACTAAAAGAATTTTACTTTGAAATCCCAGTGCTTTGATCACAGCAAGAGGAGTCGTGGCAGCGTTACCCGGCGCACGGAGCACCGAGGCCGTAGCTGGTAATGCCAGTGCAGCTATGGATTTGTCAGCATTTCTGTCAGCATGCTGGTTTTCAGGATTTATGAAGCTCCTCTATAAGCAGCCCCCCAGTTCAGCACACAGGGCTGACGTGCAGGCTGGATACTGGCTTTTCTTTTTTTCCTGCAAAATGGTATTGAATCAAGCAAATCAAGTCTGAGTGTGAACACGCTGAAGTGATCCAGACTCTGATGTTACAGGGGCTTGAGCAAGTATGTCACTTCACTCATCTATGTTTAAAGAGCTTCCCTGAGTTAATTTAATACTATATGGAAATTGATGCTGATTTATATAATGTGCTTGCACAAAGATAACCTGTCCTCCCCTATGGGCTTCTCAGCAACAGGAAACACCTCACCCGTGTCTATCGGTCATGGAATTAATCTGTTTGCACAAGGGATGGGGAATGTGCCCGGAGCCAGGAGAAGTCCAATCCTCACCTCCAGTGCTGGGCAACTGTGTGCATTTCTATATACAGAGAGCTATAAACATGCTATAAAAGTACTTCACCTAATATCAAATTGTGTTAAAGACTCCAGCACCCGACTCCATACGAACCACATGTGTTTCCTTCTCCTTGGCTCTTTTCGATGATGCCTGGTTGGAGGTGACTGGTGTGCTGCATGGGCAGCCTGCTCCCAGCCACACATGCCTGGATGCTGCAGGCATTTGCCTTCCTGTTAAAACCCAGGAAAAAAACCCCAAACCACTAAATTTCTATTTCTGCCAAAAATCAGGGTTTAACCTGATTTTCAGAGAGCCTGGTAAGGTTTGCAGGTCAGCATCCATGATCCGTCCTTCAATCACTTTCACTCACTTCTTTTATTCCTTAAAATTAAAAGATGCACATGTACGCCAGGACACCAGGAGCAAGAAGGAGAAAGATTATCAGTATGAAGGCATTCATTAGGCCTAAAAAAAAGATGGGAAATGCTGTTTTTTTTCAGTCCTCCTTGCCAAAGAAGAGGTCGGTAGATGAGAGTGTGCACCCTTTGGAGAAAATGAGATTTAAGGCTATGCATGCCCTCACTTGAAAAGTGGGGTTTTAATTCCAAAACTTCCTGTTTGCCTCGGAGAGCACATCTGTGCGCTACACACCACAATAACATGATATTGGCAGGAAAGAGGGACACATCGTTTCAATTAAACCCGTGGCGATGATAAAATGTGAGTGGTATTGAAGGCATCTTTCAATAAATGCCACAGCAAACCTTGGCAGCAAAAGCAGCTCAGAACAATATGTGAGCGAATCCCTGGGGGAAACACACGCTCGAAACCGCTCCAGAATGTGGCATTTTTTTTTCCTGGCGAAAAGGTATGTGATTTTCATTCTCAGCATGTCATGCGAAGCCAAAAGTGAGCAGCACAATTAAGTCTGCTCAGGTAGCACTGACATTAACAGCTCGGCTACTTGTGAAAATGCTTTGTAAAACAAGCCATCTTTAGCACGCCATTGCTCTAGCAGTAAGAATGAGCCACAGCCTGCTCAGAATATATATTTAGTAAAATTACAGTTGCTCATTTTCCACTGGAGCCCCCTCCTTCCCCAGATGCTCAGCAAAGCACTGAGGACAGGGTTGACAAGCAGCGTCCTTCCTCTTCCCCCCTCCCACTGGTAACGTACAGCTCTGCCCTGCTGGTAGCCAAAGTGGGGGGAGTCTGGGGAAATGCTGGCGTGGCTGCAACCTGGGGAAGAAATTCGATGTCCTCCTGAGAGAGTGGGTTCACTCCCCACTTGAAAGACTTGGTTAATCACTCTTAGTGTCATAAAGACATTTGCAGCTCCCTTCTGTCCCAAGGTGATAGCCTAAGCACCAACCCATGGGTGTCTTTGCAGAATGGAAAGGTATTTCTCTGAGACCCAGCAGCAGCCTCTGCTCTGCCCCCGGTTTCCATCCTCTTCTCACCCAGAAGGTGTTGAAAGGCAGCCAGCTCCGACGCCAGCAGCCTGGCATCCGCGTGTCTCGGCACCGTGGCAGTGGGCAGTGCAGACGCTGTGGGTGACAAAATGAATCTGTCCCACTCCTGGAGATGTGCTCGAATCACTTATTCATCAGCAAATGAGTCACTGCCCTGCCCACGGTCTCTTCCTGTGAAGCAGAGGTGACAGCAAAATGGGATCAAGCACACTCCCCCCAGCCTACACAGAGAGCTCTGCTCCCTTCCTCCCTCCCGAGCCAGCGGGCTCGTTATTTTGGAATAAAAATCCTGAGAAGTGTGCACGGGCGTGCAGGCACACAGAGCACTGAAGCAGAAGTGCATCTCAACCTGTGCTGCCAAAAGGAGCACTTTGCACATCTAAATGCACCAAGAAGCATCTGCTGCAGGAAAAAAGGCAAAGTGCAAAATGATTTGTCGAAACACTGTGCTTCTCAGTCCCTGTTTGCACACTCCCATCAGTGCTAGTGTTGGC